CCCATCAGCCTACTTCTCTTCCAATTGTCCTGCTGATTCTATTGAACCATCATCATTTACCGTTGCTAACAAATCACCAATATGGCGTCAAGCCATGACTGAAGAGTTTGATGCACTTGTCAAAAACGGAACTTGGTCTCTAGTTCCATTTGCTAAAAACACTAATGTCATTGATTCAAAGTGGGTTTACAGGATCAAAAAGGATGCAAATGGGAATGTTACTCGCTATAAAGCCCGCCTTGTGGCGAAAGGCTTCAACCAACAACCGGGTGTTGACTACCAAGAGACATTCAGTCCCATTGTCAAAGCAACAACAATCCGTGTTATTCTATCTCTTGCTGTGACAAATCAATGGTCTCTCAGACAACTTGATGTTAAAAACGCCTTTCTCTATGGTGATCTCAAGGAAACGGTTTATCTACGTCAACCACCGGGCTTTGTTGATAAATCAAGACCTAATCATGTTTGCTTACTCCATAAATCCTTGTATGGATTGAAACAGGCACCGAGAGCATGGTTTGAACAACTCTCTACAACCTTACAGTCTCTCGGTTTTGTTGGTTCTAAAACCGATCCCTCATTGTTCATCCTCAAGAATAGGGGTACATTAGTCTATGTTCTTGTTTACGTGGATGATATTATTGTTACCGGGAATGATCCTCAAGCAATCACGGGTGTTATCTCTAAATTAGGATCAACGTTTGCTGTCCAATATCTAGGGAACTTACATTATTTCTTGGGCCTTGAGATTGTTTCTCATGGTAAACACATCATTCTATCTCAGCGCAAGTATGTCTCTGACTTGCTAACACGTACTGGTCTAGCAGATTGCAAACCCGTGTCATCGCCCATGAGCAGCTCTCAAGTGTTAACCTTGTCCGACAGCCCCTTGCTAACGGATCCAACCAAATACCGCCAAACAGTTGGTGCTCTACAATATGTAACTCTCTCGAGACCCGATATTACTTTTGCCGTCAACAAAGTTTGCCAATTCATGCAAACTCCAACAGAAAACCATTGGTCTGCTATTAAACGAATACTTCGTTATCTCAAGGGAACATCGCACTTTGGCCTCTTTATCCGTCATGGGTCTGCTTCTACACTTCAAGCTTTCACCGATGTTGATTGGCGCGCCAACTTAAAAGCGTACTCTGATGCTGATTGGGCCGGCTGTCCAGATGACCGTCGGTCCACGGGGGGATTTGCCATCTACTTGGGTTCCAACCTAATTTCGTGGACTGCTCGCAAACAACGTACGGTTTCTAGATCTTCCACCGAATCTGAGTATAAAGCTCTTGCTGACACGGTTGCTGAGATAACATGGCTAGAAGCTCTCCTAAACAAGCTTGGTATTACATCTAAAGTCTCTCCCACTCTTTGGTGTGATAACTTGGGGGCCACATATCTTTCCGCCAATCCTGTGTTTCATGCACGAACGAAACATGTAGAAGTGGACTACCATTTTGTACGAGAAAAGGTTGCTCAAGGAAAGTTGAGAGTTCAATTTATTTCCACACATGATCAAATTGCCGATGTGTTTACGAAACCGCTCCCATCTCAAAGATTTCTGATGCTAAGGTCCAAGTTGCAGGTCGTTCCCCGCCCTCAACTTGCGGGGGGATAATAGACAATATATATTTAAAATATTTAACAGTATTTTATTTATCTTATTATAGATGGTACTAAAGTGTAATATCTAGTCTTATATATAGGACCTTTATTGTAATCTTAAAATCTTAAGAATAATACCAAAATCATTCGGTGGCTTATTAGACATAGATATAGTAATTGAAAAAGCACCATTTAAAACTCCAACTATATATCAACATGATTCGGGAATAGATTTAGTAATATGAAATAATTTCCTTAAATTATATCAACCATTTATTCAAACAAATCATCATATAAGTCTCAATCACCCGACAAAAGCTATTATAAAAACTGCAATTATCAAACATTTTGATCTTATTAAAATAATCAAACAAGAAGTTGGTTTTCAACTACGCATATTACTAACGTTTGCTAAAGAAATTGCTGAAAAACAACTTGAAGAAGTATGTAGTGAAAACCCGCTAGATCATTTAAAAAATAAAAATAATCAAGAAATAATAATATTATTAAAAAACCATAATGATGAAGTTAATGTTTCAAATAAAATTCCATATAGTATAAAAGATGTTTCCGAATTTAAACAGGAATGCACTGAACTACTAGAAAAAGGAATCATTCGACCTAACACGAGTCCTCATTCTGCACCTGCATTCTATGTAGAAAATAATAATGAAATAAAACGAGGTAAACGAAGAATGGTAATTAATTATAAAAAGATGAACGATGCTACTATAGGAGACTCATAGAAATTACCACGAAAAGAATATATTTTGGAAAAATTAAAAGGAAATACACATTTTAGTACATTTGATGCAAAATCCGGATATTGGCAATTAAGCTTACATGAAAATACGAAACCACTAACTGCTTTTTCATGTCCTCCTTAGAAGCATTATGAATGGAATGTCCTTCCATTCGGTTTAAAGCAGGCACCAGCAATATATCAACGATTAATGGATGAAACCTTAAATGGTTTAGATCATATTTGTCTTGCATACATTGACAATATAATTGTTTTTACAAAAAGAAATGAACAAACACATATCGATGCAGTTATCAAAGTTTTACAGAGAATCAAAGAAAAAGGTTTAATTTTATCAAAAAAGAAATCAAAACTTTTTCAATATACAGTTGAATATCTTGGTTTAAAAATTGGAGAAAATGGTTAATTATCTTTAACAAACAACATACAAGAAAAATTAAATATGTTTCCTAATAAACTTGAAAATAGAAAACAAATACAACGATTTATTGGTTGTTTAAATTATATTGCATAACAAGGATTTTTGAAAAATTTAGCAAAAGAAAAAAAAAGTTTTACAAAATAAAATACCAGAAAAAATACCTTGGTCTTGGACCAATACAGATACTATTTTGGTACAAAATATAAAACAAAAAATTCAAGTTCTCCCTACTTTATATAATTCAAAAATCGACGATTTTATAATCGTGGAGACAGATGCATCACAAGATACTTGGGCAAGATACCTAAAAGCAATTATACATGGAAAAGTATTATTAGGACTAGATAATGAGGGAAACCTCATATCTGACCCATCAAAAGTATACATTGATAAAGCATACAGTTGTATGAAAATACCATCCGAAGTATACAATGATAAAACATACAGTGGTATGAAAATACTATCCGAAGTAAACAGTAATAAAGCATATAAAGTATACAATGATACGAATGTATCATCTGACACATTGAAGACAAATAAATATGAGCACAAATTATGCAAGTATATATCGGGAACATTTTCTCAAACGGAGCAAAATTACAGTACACATGAATGAGAAACACTACCTTGTTTAAGAACATTGAAAAAAATGGAAAGTCGAAATACTACAAACTAGATTCGAGTTACAAACAGATTCCAAGTATCTACTTGGTTTTTGGCGATATAAATTACAAGAAGATTATGTTGGTGATTTTAGTGTCACCATGTCATTTTAAGTAACTAGAACTAACATGTGAGTTAAGGGGCTTCATAATTTGTACTCTAATATATGTACGGGGTTGTGCGGAGTGCACGCATGTAGAAGATCGAATTAGAAGCCGGTTCGACGACTAGTCGGGGGTCTGGGGGCAGCGCCCCCGGGTCCGGGGTTTCCAAAGGGGCAGAGCCCCTGGCTGGGGTCCCGCTGTGGAAGGATTTGTTGAGGGTGATTATGGGAACATAGTGAAAAATTCAATTTCTTGAGGGTGATTATGGTAAAACTAACAAAACTCGTTAGTTTTGGTAACCCTAAATCCTCATTAAATCCGGATTAACATTACTTGCTTCCAAAGCAACTAATGACGACCCAACCCTAATGAAACCCTAATCTCGTTTAATATATAAACAATTCTTCCTCTTCAGAGGAGGGGACGATCTTAAGCTCTCGTTTTTCATCATACTTTCACAGAATCCTCTAGCATATTGGCTTACGATTTCTGTGCCTAGAATCGTAAGTGTCCACTTGGATTATCCTAGGCTGAATTTCTTGTAACCCAGACATACGGTAGAAATATCAGTTCGGAAAGTGATATCACGATCCAAGTCGGTATCCAAATCTCCACCACAAACCCTATTTTTCCCAACAAATTATTGCCGTGGGCGATTGATTCGTTGACAATTACAATTACACTAATTTCATCCATATCTCAGATATATAAAAAGCGCCAACAGTCATATAGCAGACACAATGACGAGAGAATGAAAGCCATCATGAAACAACAACAACAACAGTTTAAACAAGAATAAAAAACATCCCTACATGGAAGAAACACTATTCATGGAAGATTAACATAAATACGTCAGCCATGACACAAGCAAACATTATTCACAAAAAACTATATGTCCTTTTGTGGCGGGAGGAAATGACGCAAGCAATGATGAACAAAAAAATTATTGAAGACATTATTGAAGACACGCGTCCTTTCGTTGTGGAAGGATTTGTAATTTATTTATCTTTTCTATCTCTTTTTCTTCCTTTTTGTTTCTTTCATAAATTTTACTTAAGAAAACAATGGAAATGATATGAAGTTGAGGTAAGGTAGAAAATAAAAATTAAGGTAGAAAATAAAAATATAATAGACCAATAGCCTAAAAGAATACAATTCATTAGCTATACCTATAGGCTATAAATGTTATTATCCATTTAATTAAAAATATCAAACCATAAAAAATGAAATAATATCGACGGGCGTAATAGTCAAAATACTTGGGCCAGATATGAGATAACAACAACCAACCACGTTTGCAAGCTGATAATTATCTGTCCAGCCTTTATCAAATCAAGCTAAAATCTGACCGTTCAAATCACCATCGTTAATTTCACCACAGCCGTTGGATCAACCAAAAGGGTCAATAAATATCCCCTATCATCTTCTATTCGTTCCGTGTACTTCTATCTCGCCTTTATCAAGGACGAAGTTTTCACGTTTTTTCTTAGATCTTGGTTTCTGTTAGCCGTTTCATCCGATTATATCGTTGTAATCCTGTAGATCGTTCTTCGATCTACGTTTTGGTTATGGATTTGATATGTTCCGATCAGTCGATCGCCACCGGTTGTTGCAGTTACCGAAGATTAAGATTCCGATCCGCCGTTTCAGAAGGATGAGGTTCGTTATCTATACCACACCTGTTGTTTGATCGATTATTTTGTTTAATAAGACGATTTAGTCGATTTGTTGCTGTTTATACGTTTGGATTTCTTAGATACATAGATTATTTTATGTAAGCAATTTCCGGTTGATGTAATCAGAAATTGTGTTGTTTCTTCGGCAGGTTTGATTTGAAGAGAAGATACGTGCTCTACCGATGATGAATTTCAATAAAGGACGATCGTCTATTCTGTTCTTTAGCTCCCTAAATCTCGTATATCAGATCTCCGATCTTCGGAAAATTAGATATATATTAAAGCTGTAATCGATCGGAATCAATAGTTGTTGTTCGACTTCCATGCGATGATACACAAATCATGTAGATGTATTCGAGATTTGGCGAGATGTATCTGGTGGAAGAGGTCAGAGGCTAGAGATTGATTTGTAAGATCCACTGGTGGTGTTGCGTGTTGATTTCATTATGTTGTGAGTCCGGCCTTTGCCATGTCAGGTGCGCTTGCATGGCAGGTCAAAAGTGTTAATGAAATGATTGTTTTTGTTTTGGTGGAAGGAGATGGTACGGGGTTGCCCGGCTCTCCTTCCTTCCTTGTGCGCCTGCGTTCTCTTCTCATCTTCTTTGCTATCTCTCTCTCTTGCTCTTACCAAAGATCTAAAAACGTAAAGCGTGGTGCTAATTTTGTCCCAAAATTAAGCAGACTGAGAGCACTCATAACACAATCAATACAACATCAAACGCTGGAGATCAATATCGAGACTGTATTAAGGTACAAACAATCCGTTTCTCCCTTCGAATTAATTTTTTTCGCGATACTTTATGCAATTTTACGTAACTGTTGGCCGAAACCCCTAAAGGCTCCTAAGCGTCAGTAATTCTGCCATTATTACTATTCAATTGTCACACGACAATTTCACTATCAAATCCTCGAAATTTATCTTTAATCATTGAATAGTTTATTATGCTGCTGTTACCCTTTTTTTGCTTCAATGTTTTGAATTGTTCAGTTTTGTTGACAATCAAGTGAGTTAATAGTTGACTGGTTGAATAATCATTTAACAAGTTGTAACTAGCATATAGTTGGAACGTAATTATTTGTTTTTTTTTTTCTCCCTGTAATATATATCGAGTAATGGAGAGTTTATGTTGGTTAGTTATCTTTGTACGCATATATCATGATGGAAAGAGAGGAAGAATTGAATGGAGAAGATAAATAAATAAATAGTTGATGTTTTGATCTGATTATGTATTAGCGATTGTTTCTTTTATGAATTAGTGATATGCAGCTTGTGCACTTGAAGGGTTGGGAGTGAGGGTGATGACTTCATATGGTAATCGTATAGGTACACATCTCTGTTTATGAATTTGTATAGTTCTTGCTTGTAGATCTCTGTTTATGAATTTGTATAGTTCTTGCTTGTGGATTGTTGTTGAGCTTTTGTCAAATTTTGAACTCCAATTTAAAGTTTCTGTTTATTTTCCAATTAATATGTGGTACTTCATGATGATTATCAAGTTGCAGAAAATCGACCCTAGTGTAGTAATTATAAAAAAGTGCAAGAAAAATTGCTGAACAATAAATATGTGAAACGGGCAACGTACAGTATTTCTTTGAAATTTAAACAAATTCGGTGCACATGAACAAAATTCGGTGTTTGGGAGACATCTATTTTCAAACGCCTTAACCAATTATATTTTGAATTAATATTGTTTTCATTTGAAAAAATATATTTTTGGGTGTTTTTTTAAACTAAAATTTTAACTTTAATTTTTGCATAAAAGGACTGTATTTTCTTTCTTCAGTTTTTTTAGCAGCTCTACGGGGTAAAGTTCTGCTTTTCAGACAATCTTTAGGGAAAAAAGCTTTTTTATTTTGAAAATTTGTTAATTTTTAATTGTTTTTTGTTCAGAAAAATTAAATTACGAGGTTTTTTTTGATGAAAAGTTAAAACATTTTAGACTAAAACCGAAAATTACCGGTCGATTTGCGAGTTCTAACTTGCGTGAGGCCGACTTAAAAGAATAATAGTTTTTTTAGGTAAAAAAATTTGATGTTTAATTGCATAGAAGAAATGTCAAAATATAGTTTCTTTTATAATATTAATCAATTTAAATTGTGGAAAAGTGATGATGGTTGGTGAAAGTGATTTTGCCAATGGTAAAAATCTTTTATGTTTTTCATCGTCGTTTGTTTAATTTAGGTTTTGTTGATTACAAAATGAACAAAAGAGAGGACATGACGGTAGATGATATGAAAGTACTTTTTATTGTTAATATACAACTTCTCTAAAAAAAATTAATGGACACAAAAATTGTCTTGAAAGAAAAAAGTCTATTAAAATCTTCTATTATATGTTTGTTAAACAAATCAATTACACCTTTAATAATTTTTTGTGGAAAGTTTTATTCAATCTTATATAATTGCGTTTTAAAAAAAGCATCAGAAGCCTGGTCGGGAGCTATTGCCGCTTCCCTGATGAGCCTATGGTAGGGCGAAACCGGTTGTCGTGCATATGGAAAAAAAATATGATTAGGGTTGTTGCAAATAAAATTATGGATAATGACTTAAAAGGGTAAATATAGAGTAAAATACGATTAGGGTTGTTGCAAATAAAATTATGGATAATGACTTAAAAAGGTAATATAAATTTTTTTTCGTTCACATTTATTCCTTTCACTTATTAAACAGTAAGGTCCCTATTAACGGTTAATTCAGGTTAGCTATATTTTTTATTTTGTACATATTTAGTCTTTAATATTTTTGTATACATTTAGTCATTAATATTTTTTTTGTTTTAAAATAAGTTTTTTTTTTTAGTTTTTGTACTAATTCAGTATTTATGAATGATTTCTTTATATTGTTAATACTTATGTCCATCGCGATCTCGACTGTTTGGTTGCGTATGTCTTGTGGTTTGACTTAGGTCTTATGTTTTGAACGTCATAACTCTTCATGAGATATCAGATTTTAACGATCTTTATATCCACGTGTTTGTTTTTTGAGTCTAATACAACTTTCGTTAAGATTACTCTCGTTAAAATGTAATATATTTTTACTTATAATTTTATAAAAAAACATTCATACATCCATTCATAAAAAAGAATGGATATAAAGTTCGTAAGTAAAAATATATTATGTTTTAACAGGAGTAATCTAAACAAATGTTGTAGTAGAGAAAAATACGAGTGCATGGATATAAAGATCGTTTTTATCGTATGAAGAAGTTATGACGTTTAAAAATAATGACCTAAGTAACTAAGTAGTCGAGGTCGTGATGACCATAAACATTAAAAGTCTCAAACATCTTATTAATGATTGTCTCACGTAAGATGTTGTGATAAAAATCTAAAAAAATCATTTATGAGTACTGAATAAGTACAAAAACAAAAAAGACTTGTTTTTCAATAAAAAAGATATTAAGGACTAAATGTCTACAAAAATATTAAGGACTAAATATGTATAAAGTGATAAATATATTATCATATTAAGTAATTTTTACCGGCTAATCTGGAGTAGCCAGTCATTATGACTGAATATATACAATTTAATAAGTTGAAGTGGTAAATATGGACGAAAAAAAAAAACTCAGATAGAAAGAAAGAACTAGAATCGTATATAAGGAGTTTCTTAAATTTGTTTGATTAGGTTTCTTAAACTTGTATGTTTCAAAACTTTTGTAATTATAATAATGAATTAGATAATGCTGGAGGGAGTGACCTTCGCTAGGAGCTCGCCTCTACAACTCCCATCAAATGCGCTAATATGTCTCGCTAAAGATGACTTGCTAGCGGGGTAGCGAGAGAAAAAAGAGAGGGATTTGATTGTTTTTTTTTTCCAAAATAAAAATAATAGAATATATAGATGCTATCAATCTCTACAATAGAGGTGGAGTCAATAAAAAATTACTTTCAGATTTGTACTGTTAGCAAATTTGCATATAAGGCTAAGGGTATTGTTACCAACAACCCAATAGAAAAGTATTGCCATGCATATAAGGCTAAGGGTAAGGGTATGGTTACCAACAACCCAATAGAAAAATATTGCCATGTAGCACTCCAATATATGTTCATTACAATATACAAGCCTATTATTAAATGGAAATGGTTACCACTTCATATTATTTATTTATTTATATTTATTTATTTTTTACATTATATTAAATAAAAACACACTAATTAAACATAAATAAATATTTTAATAATAAAAAGGTACATTAAATTAAATCAATACATAATTTTAAAATTCAATAATATTCTAAGTCAAGGGTATGATATGTAATTTTCGTAAATCATTTAAGTATAAGAAATTTGATTTAAGGTGGGAGGTGTAATTAATGAAGACTTCAGGACCAAAGCTATCAAGTCTTTTATTTTGTTGTCTTCTTCCTCCCTACACATCCCAACTCCTCTTCTTCTTTTATTATTATTATTATTATTATTTTATTTTTACCCTATAACTCCTTATTTAAAACAATTGATGCACTCTTCAAATAAAAAAATGTATTTTTTTTACATTCTCTAACTTTCATAAAGAAAGAACGGTCAAAGGGAGCATTTACCAATCAGCTTCCTCGACTTCTCCCGTAACCAGATTCATGCCACAACACACCCACTCCCCATTGGAGCGGTGTTCACGCGTGGATAGAGGTGTCACATCATCATTCACGTGTGATTTCCTGTCTTATACCGATGGCCTAAGGTCTGCTTTTTGTGTTCCATACACCACAACATTTTGACATTACATCTTTTTTGCATTAGATTGTTTATAAATTAGATAGATTTCAAGTGAGTTAAAATCATATTTTTTACATTAACATGCTAATTTGCACATGTTTTTACAATGCATTCTACCTCTAAAATTTTGTGAAGGGTTTAAGGGAATTGTTTTTTGACTTCGCTCGAGAGGCCGCACCCCCAAACTGCACACCCCAAACCGAATAAGAAGGGGGGTAGTGTTCACTGCGGTAAGACATACGACAGAGGATCTTACCTCATTTCACTCACTAAGTCTAAAACAAACCCACAAGGGAGTGTGGTCCATTTGAATACCACCATGCTTGTTTGATCATAGAGTTGATTATCTTTAAAACTAATATAAATTCAAATTACATTTAAATGATACATGAACTAAAATCACCAATATATTGGTTTATTTTTTGTCGGGACCATGGTACGTCGCAGAGGCAAGGGCAAGGAAGGTTCGAGCAGAGCACGGTGGATGAACTCTAAAAACTATGAAGGTTCAAGCAGGGTGGACGAACTCTAAAAACTATGATACACTAATGTATCGTTGAAGCAACAATATCAATTGTGAGGGACCTTTTGTCGCAACATACACCAACGGATTACACATATATGTGAGTGGATAGAAATATATGATAGCCAAATATATAGACGTGATAAATCGACTTAGGGGGGGGTGTCTCGTGTCGATATGTAATGAAACTATTTGAATTTTTATGATAAATAATGTGGTATTGGCAAACATGGTGAGTCATCAAGGACTTAATTTTAATATATATATATATATATATATATATATATATATATATATATATATATATATATATACACACACTAGCTGTCTACCCGCGCAAAGCAGCGGATGACAAATAATTTGTTTCCGCAGTTAATTCTTTTCGGTGGACAATGATTAATTTCAATGGAAGTGTGTTGCTTTTTAGAGGGTTAATGTAAAAATAGCAATTCTTTTACGGTAGTCTACATTTATTACAACTATTTTTTGGCATTTAAAGTTGTTTTAAATGGAAGTAGGATACTTTTTAGAGGTTTAAAAGCTAAAAAATAACAATGTAATTTTAGTTATTTATTCATACAGATGCCTACTTTTGTTATGACAATTTTTTAGGCATTTAACCCTATATCAAATGATTTATTGCTTTTTATAGGGTTAAATGAAAGTACATTGCTATTTTGTGCATAGTGAAAATAAGTTCATTGTTATTATTCACAAACAAATGCAAAAAGTTCAACTTTTTAAAAATATTATTTAAATAACAATAAAGTATTATAATATTCCAGTTAAACAATCAATTGCAAAACTTAACAACAAAATAGTAATGTAATAAGTTTCGATGTCATACCACTAAAAAAAGCCAGATATACATATTAAAATTCACATATAGTAAAATGAAATTTTTAACAATACTAAAATAAAATAAAGTTTTGAATTGCTATACTTTCTAAAAACTATGAGACTTACAATAATAATTGCTTACTATAAAACTCTATAAATCTTTAAGCCTCTGTTAGAAATCATTAATAAAAATATGTGGCAAGCAACCAAAATAAC